AAAAAAAAAAAAAAAAAAAAAAAAAAAAAAAAACAATAAAGGTCATGCAGCATTCATTATGGACTGGTTTTATCAAAAGTTAAGAGAAAACTTCAACAAGTGAATATGCATAGGTCTAGTTAAACCTTACCTTTTAAATTAGGTAGTTCTCCAAGACTACATGATATTGTGGTCCTCAATCTTTGTTCTACTGGAGAAAACTTAATTAATGGTGAAAGAGACTGTTTTCTTTCACCAATGGACATGCGTAATGATGGCTTTGTATGGTCAGTATGCAAATCATGGGTGTCCAAAAAGTTAAGCATATCCTCTGTTTGTACATTTTGGGTAGCAGGGCTCAATACTGGTTTGTGTCTTTCAGGTGTTAGGGGATTCGAGAAGTAAGATTCTTCCCTTTTCTTGGAAAGAGATTTCTTTAGAGCCTCATATCTACTGCAAAGAGCCTGAATATTGAAGTCTGATTCTGGAGTAGTCTGTCTCCTTTCCACAACATGTTCTAGAAAAATGCCACCATGCATAGGACTATTTGGCTCCAGTTTAAAATTGGCCTCTGAACTACTGGAACTATTAAAACTTAGGTGACCAACTTCTTCCGGAAGAGTTTCATGTAATATGCCAAAATCAGTATCTTTAAAACTCTCAGAACTAATTCCACTTGATACCTGAAAAGAGTTCCACAAGGTAGTTTTATTTGTGGAAGGCTTGTTACAAGAAGCTTGTAAGTAGTCCAATATTTTAGTATACTCCTCTTCACTGCCACCCATCACATCTATCCTATTGCCGACAGCAGGGGAGAATGTCTCCATTTGGCTAGTTTCTGAAAGCTTGGTTAAGGCTATACATTCCAAATCTTGCTTGTAAATTACTTTCTTATTTAACAAATCTGACTGATTTTGTGTTATTGGTTCATCTATGTGACTGGTCACCACATGTTTCTGAGGCACACACTTGCAATCTGAAACATCTTTCTCTTCAGTCGAATGAGACTGGCCAAAATCTGATACAGTGGTTTCGAAGAGAAAATCGGCCATGCTAAATTCTCTTTGATCATGCAACACAGATGATGATTCTGGCAATACTTCTCTATGCTCAGTATCCATTTGAATTGGTTCTGTAGTTCTGTTTTCTTCCATTTCAATAGCTTTTCTCCATGAGCTCCTAATTTCACTTACTAATTAAAAGGGGAAAAAACACAATTTACTAACATTCTCAAACACAGAGCATGCAATGAATCATTTTATTTCTAACACTGAAGATAAAGCTCCTGACTCAGTATGTGTTCTATAAATATACTGGCTGGATTACAAGGCTCCACAATATAACAAATCCCATCATCAAAGAACCCCATCTCCAACTTATTACACACAAATAAACACATATAAAGACAGATGTTCCTGAAATGTGCATCAACTTTTACATAGCACATATGGATTACATGTATTAAAAGGAAATTTTCTTGTCCATCTAGGCCATGGTTTGGCAAACATTTTCTATAAGGGCCAGACAGTAATATTTTAGGCTTTGCAGGCCATCCATTCTGTCTAACTACTTAACTCTGCCATGATAGCATGAAAGCAGCCATAAACAATGTCAACAAATGAATACGCTTATGTTCAATACAATTTTATTTACAAAAACACACAAAGTGGGGCTCAACTTGGTTCAGAGGCTGTAGTTTCTGACCAGGCTGTGGCTCAGTTCAAACTGAATTAAATCAACAGCAAAACAGAAATTATTTATTTACACAACCAAGGTGATGTGCCTACCTAAGGACACCAATATCAGAGCTTTGCCTACACAAATTACAGGTTATACGGAAAAAGGTATTGGGCAGTTTGACTCATTTGGGAGCGGTAAAGACCTCCACACACATGGTTTATGGCTGATGCTTCTTGTTGATAACTGGGAGAACATAGCCTCTGTACTCTATAAATATGTGGATCACAGGTCAGACCTGGAGGCAAGAGTTTTTTTTAATGCTCAAATAAGATCTTTCTGATAAAAGCCAAGTAAAACAACAAAAACAAAATTGTATATTATCAAAATGTTCTATCTCTGTATAATGAGTACACTAAAGGCACAAAATACTGCTAAAAGACTGTTATGTGGGAATGCCCATACTTCGTATGTCGATAAAAGTCCCTTACAGCATCATAAATAAAAAGTCATTGCCCCCGGGCACGGTGGCTCATGCCTGTAATCCCAGCACTCTGGGAGGCCAAGGCGGGCGGATCATGAGGTCAATAGTTCGAGAACATCTTGGCCAACACGGTGAAACCCTGTCTCTACTAAAAATACAAAAATTAGCTGGGCCTGGTGGTGCGTGCCTGTAATCCCAGCTATTCAGGAGGCTGAGGCAGGAGAATTGCTTGAACCCGGGAGGCGGAGGTTGTAGTGAGCTGAGATCGCACCACTGCACTCCAGCCTGGCGCCTGGTGACAAAGCAAAACTCTGTCTCAAAAAAAAAAAAAAGTCATTGCCAACTAAGCTAAAAAGATCTGTCAGGCCATGGTTCTAACAGTGGTAATGTCAAAGAAAGAAAAAAGAGTTACAGAGAGCATTACTGACTTACTCAAGTTTTCTGGAGTGCGGGGAATCTGATTCCTTGTTAAGAAGGGGTTAGAACCCAGAGAGTCAATTAGTTCCTCTAATTTTATTTCTTTTCCCTCAGAGAACGGTGGTGAATCAAATAAAACTGCTCTGGCAACCTAAAACAGAAAAGAAAAAATAAAGCAAAGATTACCAAGCCCATTGGTAGAATGCAACAGACCCCTGATAAGCACTTCATGGTCAGCAGCCCCTACCTTTGCAGACAGCACAAAAATAAGCAACAAAGAAGTTCCCAGACAAATCTGTATAGACCATCTAGGTACAATCCTGTAAAGTGAAATGAAACTCAAGGTATTTCCTCATCTTAAATGGAGAGCCCATTATAAAGGAAAGAATAGATAACAATCTTTACACTAGGAAGATTTAGGGGGAGTTCCAATTGCCCAGTGACCTAGGCTGCTATCTGCCACAACTTTGAGCTTGACAGCTCTGTATTCACTAAAATGACTAGTTTTAAAGGAAGCACTCTTCTCACAATTATAATTAATTTGCATAGTAACACCTCTATTAAGAAACAAAATCAAGGCCGGGCGCGGTGGCTCAAGCCTGTAATCCCAGCACTTTGGGAGGCCGAGGCGGGTGGATCACGAGGTCAAGAGATCGAGACCATCATGGTCAAAACGGTGAAACCCCGTCTCTACTAAAAAATACAAAAAATCAGCTGGGCATGGTGGCGCGTGCCTGTAATCCCAGCTACTTAGGAGGCTGAGGCAGGAGAACTGCCTGAACCCAGGAGGTGGAGGTTGCGGTGAGCCGAGATCGCGCCATTGCACTCCAGCCTGGGTAACAAGAGCGAAACTCCGACTCGAAAAAAAAAAAAAAAGAAACAAAATCATTCTGACAACATACCTCTTTGCCAGAAACCTCATTATCAGATTTAAATTAACGAAAAAAGCAGAGATACATTCTAAAACATAGAAAAGTATGTAATATCATAATAGCGCTCTCTATTAACCATCAATAAAACTGAAAAAAAAAAAACATGCAAATTAAAAACTCTGCCCTCTGACATTACTAAAAAATAAACTTCTTGAAGCCATAATTAAATTGGCCCAAGAAAATAAAGGGCTTCTCCCTCACGAAAACAGAGTGCTTCTGGGAATTCAAATACTGAATATCACCTGTCATAAACATTCTTAAAGAAAATTAATTTCATTTTACTTTCAGAGCTTCATGAGATTTTAAGACTTTCCTCATCTATTTGATCCCATTGCTAATATAAATTATTTTAAGCAGAAAATGTGTTTTTCCTTTCAAAATTAGGAAAGTAAAAAAGACTGACTAACCATCTTTTCTTTAGTATAGAGTCAATGAAAAGAAACAACAGAATATTGTTTAGCGATTTAAAAGGACTTAGTACATTTTAGAGATTTAAAAGTACTTAGGGAACATGAAACTAGACCTCATACTACAAACAAGAAAAATGACTGACATTCAGTCAGGCATGGTGGCTGGGACTTCAGAGGTGCCATCATTCTCAACTATTTTTTTTTATTTTTTTGTAGAGATGGGTTTCACCATGTTGCCCATGCTGGTCTCGAACTTCTGGGCTCAAGTTTTCCTCTTGCCACAGTCTCCTCCAGCCTCTACCTCCCCAGTACAATTTGTACCACATTAATTTTGCTTTAACCATAATTTTTATTACCTATAGCCTTCTTTATCCTATACTAATCCAGGTAATCAATAATTAACTGTAATCCCCAAGTGTTGGGATTACAGGCATGAGGCAGTGTGCCCATCCAATAAATGATATTTAAGTATACTCATTATAGTCTTTTCTCACCTCTTCTACCAGATGATCTTGCTCTTTTTGAAATGAATCACTTATTTTAGTTGGCAGAGACCCTCCAAATGCACTACTCTCTGTATTCTTTGCAATATCTGACAATGGAGAATTTTCCACTTCAAATTCTGGTATTTTCTTAGAAATTGCTTTGTTCTTTTCTTTGGGAGTTTTCATCTTTGTGTCCTGAAAAAGACAGATATGTAATGTTAAACCCTTAATGATCACGGCTGATCTTCAAGCTTTCTTCATTAGCAGTTTGCTGGTTATATGAACCTAAAAAAGATTGTTAATATTATTGTGAAATTGTATGTCACTGGCAGAATTAACTAATTCCAATATTCCCACTTAGCAATAAGAAATGTATAAGCAGAAATGGCACAAACTGTACAAATACTAGAAAATGTGAAAACAGAAATTAAACTGTGGTATCAACAAAAATAAGTAATATTTTATAGTTTAGTATAGTCACAATTAATTGAGAATTATTTTAAAATATACCTTTTCAAGTAGTGTAACATTGTTCCTATCTGATGGCAAAACTGACTGCAACAAGAAAGAGGCAGGGCTAAAAGGAAAAAAGACAACAAATCCAAGTTATAAGGAGGAAGGAATTCCATTCCCTTTACGAGTCTGACTATTCTAAAAAAACTGTCTGCCCCGTATCTGTCCGTTACGATTTCACTCAATTCGTCCCGGTCATCAAAAGGCAGTTAGTTTATTCTAGGGAGGCATGGTGACAAGTAGAGCAGTATTTCAGCCCAATTTGTGTATCAGCCTCCCAATTATAAAGACTTTACTTACCACATACCAAGTCAACGGTATTTTCATTTGAAAGAGTTAAATGACTTAATGTTAACACTCCAAAACTTGAACACAGGTTAAAAACAGATTCAGTTAACTAGAATTGCATTATTACAATGTCACAGGGTCCAAATCACCGTTTCTTTGTAGCAAGCTTTTTTTTTCTGAGATGGAGTTTTGCTCTTATTGCCTAGGCTGGAGTGCAATGGCGCAATTTCACCTCACTGCAACCTCCGCCTCCTGGGTTCAAGCTATTCTCCTGCCTCAGCCTTCTGAGTAGCTAGGATTCCAGACATGCACCACCAAGCCCGGCCAATTTTCTATTTTTAGTAGAGACGGGGTTTCTCCACATTGGCCAAGCTGGTCTCGAACTTCAGACCTCAGGTGGTCCGCCCGCCTGGGCCTCCCAAAGTGCTGGGATTACAGGCGTCAGGCACCATGACCGGCCCAGCCAGAGACTTATTTTTAAGATTCTTTTGAAGCTTCATGTCCAAAATCATATGCTAAATTTTGCTCTGTAGCAAATGTGTTACACGTCGCAGTAACGTCATAGGTTAGAGTTTTTGTTTGCCACATTGTATTTCTTAATCTTTTATATTCCCTTGCCCTTTTGGATAAATATTAAAACTTTATGCATCTTTTCATGCTAATTGTAAAATGTTATTAAATTTTAAAATCTTCAAAGAAATGGTAACTTTTTAACTTTGATCTTTAAAAACCTTTAAAATGCAAAAACCTGAAGTTTTTCTACTCTAGTTAATACAACAGACAGGATTACCACCAAGACCACTTTCAACAGCATGTTGGTGCTTTCCTGTCTTCTTATAACTAGAAGTACAAAATTAATAGCATTGCAAATATTTTATATCATAAATATAATTTTCAAACTTTTTCAAACATGCACTCTTAGAATCTTTGCCTATCCAAACCTAATTCAAAAATCACTGCAATTGCTCAAGCTTCAACTTAGCATTGACAAGATATGATCCAGGTATCAAAGTCAAAGGATTCATCATCTACTAGATTTTGGGGGAAATTTTACATTAAAATTATCAAAAAGCCCCCTGAAACAGAGCCAGCAATCTATGGACCAATGCCACTAAGATGCCACCACTGCAAGAAGATAAGGACAAAGGCTATGTCTTTCCCTAAGCCTATTCCCAGGGGCTAACACAGTGGTTGGTAGTGCAATACATACATGTTAACTGTTTGATGGACTGACGGAATCGATGAGTAAATGCCACTTGAGAATGGGGTTCTATAAGTGACAAGTGTTTCCATTTGAATGATTCTTGTGGAACCTTATAGCAGAGAACAATGGAAACATTCTATACCCTCCCCTCTCTCATTTTTGAACTGGTAATATGCTATTAAACCTGTTAACATCACAATCTAAGACAACTTTAAAGCAGCCCTGGCTCAGTCTTTATACTTTATCCTTTTGCTATGCCAAGATTGAGGCCCATGAAATCCTAGCACTGTAACAAAATAGAAGAAAGGATAGTGATCGCATTGTGGAAATTTATCCTAATGGAACAGCACAGAGTAAAAAAAAAAAAGGAACATACCTTTTATAGTAGTAAAGAAATAAAAACGAGAAGAAATTAAGTCTAAAAATAAATGCAGTGTTACAAAGCTATTATCAATGAAAATTGGCGAATGTTATTTAGACATACACACAGCCAAGAAAAAAAAATCACAACTGTTTATACTATGTTAATGTTTTAAAATTTTGTACTTTAGAATTTTGCATTTTTAAATTTGATTAGATTGTATCCATGCTTTGATTAGAGCTATTTTTTTTTCCTTTTGAGACAGATTCTCACTCTATTGTCCAGGCTGGAGTACAGTGGTGGGATCCCAGCTCACTGCAACCTCCACCTCCTGGGTTCAATGGGTTCAAGCAATTCTCCTGCCTCAGCCTCCTGAGTAGCTGGGACTACAGGCACACACCAGCACACTCGGCTAATTTTTGTGATTTTAGTAGAGACGGGGTTTCACCATGTTGGCCAGGCTGGTCTTGAACTCCTGACCTCAGGTGATCTGCCTGCTTCAGCATCCCAAAGTGCTGGGATTACAGGCGTGAGTCACTGTGCCCGGCTAGAGCTAAATATATATATGATGATATACAAGGCCTAGGTAAGAATTTGGGGGAAAAAAGGTTACAAGTGATTCCTCTTAAATTTTAAGCAATTATTTCTCATTTTTATTTGCTGTTGTTGTTATGTTAATAATTAGGAGAAAAATAAAAATAGTAACTATAAAAAGGAAAAGATGTAAGACTAGAATTCAATTTCTAACACAAATGATGTTTAGCTGACATGTATGCAAGATCACACTGCCCTTCTTATCTTTGAAACATGGTATAGGAGAAAACATAGAAGTTAGATGTCTAGAACAACAGCATTGTTACCATTAGAAATATCATAGAACACCCACACACACACAAAGCCATTGCAAAGATAACTTTCAGAGTATACACCAAAAGCATCACCAATTGCTGAATTCTGGTTTCAAGTATAATGCAGCCTCCATGAGCTCACTCCGATTGGAACCAGAAATGAAAGCCAGGCACAGTGGCTCACATCTGAAATCCTAGCATGTTGGGAAGCTGACATGGGAGGATCACTGGAGCTCAGAAGTTTGAGATCAGCCTGGGCAACATAAAGAGACCTCATCTCTACAAAAAAAAAAATTTTTTTAATTAACTCAGTGTGGAGGCGCATGCCTATACTCCTAGCTACTTGGGTAGCTAAGGCGGGAGGATCACTTGAGCCCAGGAGGTCAAGGCTGCGGTGAGCTGTGATTGCACCACTGTACTCCTGCCTGGGTGGCAGAGCAAGACCCCTCTCAAAAAAAAAGTCAGCAATGAGATTTATGGAAAAGACTACATACCTTTTGGTATCCGTGAATGACAACTGCATGTGATAGGGCCAGTAACACTGCCTAAAAACTACATTCTTTCCATGTTTTTTAACTGAATAGTTATATTGATCATATCTACATATGAATTTCCCAGTTAACTACATTGTTAATGATATAAAATAGAGTAACTGCTGAACTACATGCAAAAAAGGTATTATTTTCTTTCATAAGTACAGTCCATCTGTGTTACATATTACTGATGTAACATTTAACTACCTTTAACAGAGAAGAATTTTGAGCAGACTACTTCCACATCCCAGTAACTTAGCTTTTCACAGGCCTTCTGTTCTATTCCACTATCTAGCAATAATAATCTTTCACATCCCGTTAAGCACTGATCCCTCACCATCAGGCCTTCCCCTACCTCCTGTCAGTATCTCAAAATCCATAATTAAAATAATCAGGAGCTTATAATAAAAGATCCAGGAGCTTTGAAGAAGACAGATGTAGAAATCAAAGTATATTTAATATAGCTTCTTTCTCCTATGAGTTTCCTTTTGAACTACATTCTTAGGAGTGGCATTTCTGACTCCTATAGAATTCTTTTTTTTTGGAGACGGAGTCTTGCTCTGTTGCCAGGCTGGAGTGCAATGGCGCGATCTTGGCTCACTGAAACATCCACCTCCTGAGTTCAAGTGATTCTTCTGCCTCAGCCTCCCGAGTAGCTGCGACCACAGTCACACGTCACCACGCCCGGCTAATTTTTGTATTTTTAGTAGAGACGGGGTTTCACCATGTTGGCCAGGATGGTCTCGATCTCCTGACCTCGTGATCCGCCCACCTCAGCCTCCCAAAGTGCTGGGATTACAGGCGTTAGCCACCACGCCTGGCCTCCTATAGAATTCTGATAGTGTATCTTGGCACAAAATTCTTCAAGACAAATAATCCAAATAATCTTTTTTTTTTCTCAGATGGAGTTTTGCTCTTGTTATCCAGGCAGGAGTGCAATGGTGCAACCTCACCTCACTGCATCCTCCTCTCAGGCTCAAGCAACCCTGACCCCTCAGCCTCATGAGTAGCTGGCACCACAGGCATGTGCTGCCATGCCTGGCTAATTTTTGTATTTTTAGTAGAGACGGGGTTTCACCATGTTGGCCAGGCTGGTCTCGAACTCCTGACCTCAGGTGAGCCACCCACCTTGGCCTCCCAAAGTGCTGGGATTACAGGCATGTATCTGGCCCTCCCCACAAAAATAAGAATCTTGGGGTTTATTGGAGTTCATAAATAAAATCTGCTATATGTATTAATCTATTATCCTCATCAATATTTAGTCCAACAAAATACCTTAATCAAATATTTAATTTGCTCTCTCAAGGGAAGACAAACCAAAAACATAATTGAGTTTGGGAAGCACCAACCATACCCTCCCCCAGCCTGCCATAAAAACAATTGTAATTTGAGTGTAAAATACATAGGCCAGTAACTTTACTGTCTCTTCAATGCCAGGTCCTCACAGAAGATTTCATTATTTTTCTTTAGGAACTCAAAAAACTAGCATCAAATCCAGGTAAGGCTAAAAACATAGTTCTTCCACAACTAGTCCTGACAGCTATGAACTGGAAGATTACTGTAGAACTACCAATAACTCAATTTCACAAAAACAGTTTTGACTCTGGTTATAGTGTTACAGCTTATTAACTTACTAAGAGTATATAGAATGATGAGTGCTTCAATTCAATTAAAATTTAGGATTTTCTTTTATAATTTTCCTAAGTATTTTATTTTCATCTGTCTCTCATCTACTTAAGGAAGCAGGAATGAAAGACACCGATTTAGGTCAAAAAACAATAAAAAAAAAAACTAATAAAGTTTGTGTTTGATTGCTACTTAATAATGTTTAATTTCAATAAAGAATATGCTCCCCAATCAGATTACATACATATAGTTCACAGATTTTTCTTTTGCTTATATAATCTGTAATCCGTACAAAATGGGATAATAGAGAGGGAAAAAAGGCAATAAAGAAAACAGGAATATTACTGAAGAAAGTTAGAACAAAGTTCAGTTTTTTCATATGTTAAATCTGGGGGTTACAGTAAATCAGAAGTTCTCCAAATTTTTTTTAAGCATGGAGCTCTTCTTTTCAAATAGTTTACCAAACACCCCAATACATAATATATATAAAAGAGCAAGTTGCCCAGGCTAAAGTGGGAAAGAGTTGGACCAGCCACAGGCTATGCTAGATTCATCCACAGCAAAAAATGGCATTAAAGGATACAGCCTGAAAATTATCTGGACAAGATTACCTCAAAGGCCCCCAAACATTTGGACTTTATAGAGTGGTTTCAAAAAAGTTCACACACATAAAAAGGCACAAACTCCCAAACTTGCATTAGATAATTTCCAAATAATCCCAATGAAACCCAATATTTAGATAAACAATAGAAGGGAAAAAAACTCCCATATACCATAAATGTTGGACCTTTTTTTTTTTTTTTTTTAAATGTAGAAGATGCCATCTTTATTTACAGGCTAATAAAAAATATTAAACTCAAATTAACTAGATATAAAACATTGTCATTAAATGCAATAGATTTGAGGCCAACCATAAGTATAAGACTGGATAGATGGAATAGGGATTACATAAGCAGGATGTCAAATACTGTGCATCTTACACATGAATCACATGAAACCTTTTTGTTTCTAAACATGAAAATA